CGCTTCATCAAATTGATTAACAATGTGAAACGCGACACGAAAACACATTCAGTGGAGTTATTAGCATGAATGGCTTTGTAAGTAACGCCGTCATCGTCTTGTGCCTCATATGTTTGTATGTCGCTACAATTATAGTTTGATAGTGAATCCAAATGTGTAGCTGAATTTCTACTTATCAACTCACATTTCCATTGTAAACAGGAACTGAATGTCATATCGAATCAATCCACCTTGCTGGGAAGGGATGTAAAACTTATCGTTATTTGAGTGTGGTATACATGAGAGTGAGGCATTCGCATGCCTCTTGCTAGCAAATGAGTTATTGTGGGTGGTCTCGGCCGCTTATTTCCATCTGCCTCCTAGTTTCACATCACCCTGCGGAGTTATCGTAGATAGGTCTATGCGCGGGTTGTCTAGATGTTATCATAGCGACTATTGCTTCACCTGCGAAAATATGCTATTACCTTCATTTTCTAGTGAAGCATTTTCTGTCCCGTTTTAATTGTAAAAAAGCGCTAGCAGCTGACTACTGAGTAGGCATATTCCTTCAAATATATTGGGGAATGCCTCCAACCCAACGACGAATTCCAATCATCTGCTGGCGTCTCGAAGGCCGTGAGAGCAAGGATTAATGAGAGTGCGACATCCGGCTCGAGCAGATAATCGTTTTCGTCTCGCGGTCGAGGAGGAGGACCCTTGGGGGATGACGACGTCTTCAACGTGGTGTTCGCAAGGGCTTAGAAATAAGCTCGAAACGCGGGTCGTCTGCTGCGGCTTTGGCATGTTTTTCGTGTCGTTACCTCTGTTTGCTTGTGCCAGATGTGTCACGATGGTGCCACACGTGCTGGTTAATCAAATATTTCCTTCTTTTCGGAAACAACATTAATTTTCCCAATTCAGTTATTTTTACGATGTTGAGTTTTCTATTTAGAGAGTTACATCGCGCTGCTACACTCTGTGCTTGTTGGAAAGACATTTACCGAGCATCGCAATGCCGAAGTGAAGTTAGTTTTTCTTTTGCTAGAGGTTTTGTACTGTATTCACAGAAGCCATATGTTAGGTAATCCTGTGTTATGAAGGCTCAGAACCTTACTTTGCATCTTGACG